GAAGAGAGGTTTAGGGTGCAAAATCTCACGCCGAATCCTGTTTCTCAGAGGGACTGGAAGAAGAAAAATAAGTACTTTGACAATTTCCCTTATTGACGGTTGAGCTAAACGGGCGAACCACCTTTGGGGGGTCCCACTGCATGTTTCCAGCAACTAAGCTTCTAAGTGGGTGAGTCAAAAGCAATCTGACTGGGTGGGTCAAGATGTTGGGAGGGTCAATACACTGTTTCTGACTTTAAACTGTTCGGTGGTTGCCAATAAACTGATCTTGCCGAAAAGTTCAAAGTCCGCTGAAAAAGAAAGACAAACTGAGAGGCAACGCCAAAGGCCGAAAGGCCGATGTGCCTGTACCACCGGGTCTGGGCTGCCAGTGGTAGCAGCAGGGGAGGCTGATGTCGTGTCGGGCGAAATGCTGAGGCTCATATCCGTCCAACCCGTGCCACAGGCCATTTTCCAGTTGCACGATGCTGGGGGTTGAGAGCCTCAGGGGGCAAACCCCTCCCAGTTCCATTTACCGATATAGTAGGTAACCAAGGGAACACTTTAAAGAACAACATGAAAATGACGGGCTCCGTATTAACATGCCGTGGCTGGGATCCACTTGGCACTATTGTGTAGCCACTCTCCTTTTGGCTTCCCTTTGAGAATGTTTGCTATTTGCCTTGCCCTGAAAGCACAGTCGGACCGATCCGGCTTTTGCGACCGCCTAACCTTTTTCGTTGACCCATGAGCCAACAAATAGGTTCGCAGTCAAGACAGCAGGGCCCTAACGCACAGGCTACTTTTGCCGGCCAAACGCGCAGTATCACACAACGCTTGAAAGAACTGCGGTAATGTACAAACAATGCATCATGTTTGTTCAAAAATATATATGAAATAAGCGACCCCCCAAGCAAAGGAGCTCCTTTTCTCCCCGAGTCGGCAAGCTCGCCACAAAATAGGAAGCCGTAATGCCTGCCAAGAACTCTCTGTCATGCAGTAAGCATAGAAGCGGCATTCCCCGTCGCCATCCAGATCCATGAGTCTGCTGAAGGAAGGCTCTTGGCCAGTAAGAATCCACATTCCTGGTCTTGGACCCCCTTCTACAAAAAGAGCACCTCCTTTTTTTGTTAGATAGGAAGTAGTCATTGTTCAGGTTGAGGCTGCCTCCTTCGTCCAACCATTTTGGGGGTCCAAACTTTGAGACAAGCCCAAAGGTCTTACCCTGGGGGCTGGGGGCAGAAAAAGGAGAGGGGATGGAGGGATCCCACTCCCCGGCCTCCCTCAGCCCCATCATACCAGAGAGCAGCCGAGTTTCCTAAAGCGTTGTTGTTGTCACACTTCGGGTCGTAGTACAAATAGCGTGCAGCCCCTGACTGGTTGTAGATGGGGTCGTTGTTGGCGGACATCCCCGCCAATTCCCACCTGACCGGCTCTTGAAACGGGGCCTACCTCTCCTCTTTTTCTGCCATGAGACCACACTAAAGGCTCCCTGATGAAAAGAACGCGAAAAGCAAACAGCTACACATACCAGGAATGGTGAGGTTATCTTTTGCTTTCCCTGACTATTTTCACAAGCTGATGCTACATGGCGGGTCTGGAAAAATGAGAGCAATTGCCCATCCGCTGGTATCCTTTCGGAACGTAAAACAACATACGCCATTTCGCACACAGAGAAACCTGGGGCAGGGAATTCCACAAGCAGAGCTGGAGCATCGGAGAGGCTGCGTCGGCATCCGGCGGCTGAGCCGGAACCCATTTTTATCTTGTTGGTTGGATATGCAGGGAATGAGAAATTCAATGACCCCTTTGACCCATCCGCTATGGTTTCCTTTAAGGGAATCCATAGGTTCATTCTCGAAACTCGGGATCATTCCCTGCTGAACACCAGCCAGTTCTTGGAAGACACTTAGGGCCCCTGACAAATTTCGATACTAAAGTGAACTCCGCATGCGGGATCGGTTTTCGTCTCACAGAGAGTGGCCCTACAGCCACATCTCCAACCATGAAACAATCTCGGAGCCTTATCAAGGCGGAATCAGCATGGGTTGGGGCATTCAACATGAGCCACCGTGGGAAGTATAATTTTCTTGTTGAGGCTTTGCAGACTCATGCCAGGCCGTTCCTGGGCTATCCACCCCTCCATAAACAGGGCCCATGATGCGTCCAAGGCAAACGTTCAAGGGTGCTATCCCCCCCAAAGCCTGCGTTGAAGTGGGTTCTCCGTGTCAAGTCCCGGGAAGGGAGCAACACGTGTTGGCCGGACCGGCCCTCGGCTGACTGACCAGACAAAGGTTCACTGCGGCAAAAACATCGATCAATTATTGCTGGTCAATGGAAACGGTAGAAGCCCCCAAGAGTAAGAATCAAAAATATGCGTTTATTCGAATCCAGGTAGAAACCTTCTACTAACCCGGGCGGGAATCCACACCCATCTATGGCCGGGCCTGTGCGGAACTAATCTTCAGTTGCCTAGATGTGGATTGCTCAAAAGACTTGAAGCAGCTTTTGACCCAAGGCCAGAGCTCTCTCTCTCTTTCTCTCTCTCTCTCTCTCTCTCTCTCTCTCTCTATCTTTCGATCTTCCATTTGCTTCAGTCCCCGGGAAAAAAAAGTAGTTCTAGTGGTGACAGGTTCCCCTTGACACAAACACGGGACAATGAATACATTCAAAAGCAAATGGCAGTTCGCAATGTTCCAAGCCTGCCATTCAGGTTCTCGTTGAAGGTCGTGCCATTGCCACAATCTACCCCTGACCTCACGGAAGTCCAAATGGAGATCCACGGGTCAAACTTTTGGAACCATGTCTCTGGGAAACAAACGCAAAACACCACTGGTTTCCCTGAAGGGAATTTCGTCCTGAACATGATCAATATGTTAGCACATCCAGTACACCCGCTCACTGGCAAATTTTCCAGGAGTCTTGATTTAAAAGGCGACCTTGCAAACAACTTGCAGGAAAACCAACCGGAACCTTTGCAGGAAACCTTTGCTGTCCTTGGTCAAACTGGGCTTGGGAATTGCCTTAAGGGGGTTCCAATTCGCACGAAAACTAGGACACCAAAGTGGCAACCTAAAACCCGAAGAGCCAACAGAAAATCCAGAGGCCCCCACAATGTGAGAGTTGGCTTCCAAAGTGAACCCAAAACCCCCTCCCCATTTTGTGGTTTCTCAAAATAAGGGACCCCTTCTTGGATGGGTTTTAAAGGGAAACCAAAAGGAAACTACCTACCTGGACAGGTCTCCAATTTTGACCCATATCTCTACTTGGTTGCTGTTGACCCCCCTGCAAAAAGAAACAAACAACTTTGGGGGTTGAGTGGAAAACCCAACTTGATTTCAACCAAAAAGTTCAAGTCTAAAGATCCAAGCCAATAGCAGTTAAGTTCAATTTGTGGGAAACCCGGCTCCAGTTTCACCGTCCACGTGGCAAGTTCAGTGAGGCAGGGATGGCCGCCAGGCGGAGAAAAGTGGAGGAGAAGTCCGGGCAGCTGAGAGTCCAGTACGACGAGGGCGGTGGGCCCTTCCAAGAACTGGCCTAAGAGTGGGAGCCTGCTATGCGGCTATCGAACCATAAACCTTTCTCGGTTGCGAAATCTGCTCCCCTGCTAAAAGAGACTAACTTTTAGTGGTTTAGTACCGAAAACCCATTAGTTGGCAAAAAGTTAAAGTCCTAACATCCAAACACAATGCACCAAAGCTTTGGTCAGGTTGTTTACCCCGAAAACCACGACCCAAGGATTTTGTGGGACAGGCAGCCGCTATGCGGCCACCACCCTGAAACCACTACCCAATTTGTGGGACCGGCAGCTGCTATGTGGCCACAATATGAGGGGCGTCAAAAAAGGTGTGTGCGTGCGGAGGAGGTTGAGGAAAGGCTTCTTGACGGGAAACAGGTGGATAAACAAGGGGACAATTGTTGAATCGCACCCTGCTGAATTTTGACCCTATCTCCAGCCAAAAGGTGATGTTTAATAAAACTACGTTTTGGGGAAATCCAGTTGAACGCTCCTTGGGTTTCCACCGGGAGAAAGCCAACAAGGGTGCTGCTAAAAAAATAAATCAACGTCAAGATAAATATACCTGAACCCTCGCAAAACGGGTTGTTATCCCAACAGACGTAGACATCTTACGGTCCCTCGTTGTAAGGGGTCATGAAGACTTCAGGTATGAGTATGTGGAAGGTTGAACGAAAAGAACAGGCTTCTTGAGGAGAAAGAGATCGACAACAAAAGCCTAGCAGCCTGTGGTGGTTTCCGGTTCGAATGCTTGTCATATGCTGTTTCCATAGTTTCGATGTGTGGCAGGGGTAAAAATCCTCCAGGCGTGAAGGTATGCGCAAAACGGCCCACGTGAGCAGAGAGTCGCAGTGAACCACTGCGCTTGCTCAAAGGGGCTTAGGTTCACTGAAGCCCAGGTTCCGGCGGTACTGGTTCGTAGCATTCACCAGGCTGCAATGGATCTGTGTATTGGATACAGGGCTCTACAAGTCACTCCGGGAAGCAGCGATTTGCTCTATTTACCAGAATGAAACGGGTCCCAGGAGTACCTCCTTTTAACTGTGAAATAGTGGAAATTCCATGGTAGGAACATCCAAGGTGCAAGCAACACATCTAAAGGAAAGGATGACTGACTGTAGCCCAAGCAACAAAAAACACAACCTGCCAAGTGTCCTCAACATAGGCTTCACCAGCGCATCTACTTCCATCTTGGGCCAGGTCATTGACTCGCTGCATGTCAAACTGTGAGATGTTGCCGGCGTGAACAATCCACAACGCCGGCACAGAGCCGTTTTGCGTGCAATCCTGGCAGCAGACCAATCCAAAACTGATCTGTATGCTGCTAAGAGTTAAACGCTTTGGTGGGTGAAAATTCGGAAATCCAACCACTAGCTAAGGAACCGGATGGCATATTGCCCAGGAACAACTGCAACCCTACAAAACCCTGGAAGACCTCTGCCAAACGGCCAGCGCCGCTTGAAAACCTTTAGGACCAAAAAAGGCCGCGGCGCTTGGATTTCTTTTTGTAGGGTGAGTGACTGAACGCGCCACTGAACCTCCCAAGTTCGCGGGTGTTTGGGGTGAATTATAGCTATTCAGGGTGAAATATAGTCTCGAATCACTTGATGGTCATTACCCCTGCAAAAAAAAAAGCTTTGCTTTTTGCAGATTAGTGGGCGACAAACAGCATGTTCCCAGAAATTTGAAGGCTACGAATCCCTAGCATTCCAGCAAATAGCCACATTCATCCTTGTCTTTTGGAAAAAAACAACAACAACAAAAACGGTGGGTCACTTTTGCCGTATGCGTCCGGCTCGTAGTACATCACCAAATCTCCCGGAGTGTTTGTGAAGTAGGGCGCCCCAGCTTTTGAGATGCCTCGCTTGGTGAACGTGCGCTCAGCTGGAGTGCCGGCCAAGATCGAAGCCTCGATGCCGAGAAAGGTCCCAAACCCTTTGTTTGCCAGAACTGTCTTCCCAAAAGCGTCAAGGTTCAGGCCATGAACTCAGGAAGTAACAACAACCCCCAACACAAAATGCACCAGTTTCTTCTTGGCTTCTGATTGAAACGAATCAAGAGGGGCTGCCTCCGAAAAATACTCGCTAAGCAGCGCCTTTTTGGCTGTGTGGGGTCTATCATTTCTTTGCTTGCTTACGTCAGGCCTACACCGCCTATGCCAAAAGCGGCCGCTCCCACAAAGCGCCTACACCTACGCGAGACCAAGTGGACTAGACGCCTGCCTACACGACTACGCAACAAAGCCAGACAACGCATTGAGGGTGCCAGTGCAAGCGCAGTACACGCAGTGCGCTTTGGCTGTTGAAGTGAGGTACGCCGTCTCCAGCTCGAAAATGGAAACACGAGCCCGGAGGACCCCGCCCGGTTGAATCTTGGACAACAAGCCTACGCGAAATCTGCCTGATATTATCTTTGAATTTGGGAGCGCTTCACATCATTCACTTGATAAAAGCACATGCCAAGTGACATGCCAATCAAATCGTCGCCTACGCAACTGTCTACGAGAGGCTTCGCATCACGAGCCTCCCCGAAATGCCGAAGCACGCCTACGCGGTTGTGGCCCTGTCAGTCAACTGCACATGCAACATGTACAACGTTTCGCCGCCAAGATGCGGGCCTTCATCCCCGCCCTGATGTGGTTCACCAACGCAGAAAAGAGGAACACAGGGCAACGCCAGACTGCGTAAAGAAGAGCTGCACATGTCGCAATTCAGAAAAAAAATGAAATGCGGGATCCCCAAGTAATGGACCATCGTGGTGAGCTCGTTTTAACCATCCCCCCCAAATCTGTTGATCCCGGATGAATCAACCTGTCCTATTCATAGGGGGTGCCCCCCTCCAAAAGGGATGAATCTCTAAGAGGTGACACCCATCAATCCAGGGTCTAGTCGGTGGTTTCCATTACCCTCTCCCACTATGAAATCTGACAGGTCCCTCCAAAAGAAACTGGATCTTCCAGGTACCCTCCCTCAGGTGCCGTGTCTTGGTTGCTGTTGACCCTCTGCAAAAAGCGTATAACTTTTGGTGGGTCCAAAGGAAAATTCCAGGGTTTCAACCAAAAGTTGAAGAGTCCAAAGGTCCGGTACTCAAACGCCAAACAATCATGAGTACCACTCACTTCCCAGGCGGATTGGGCCAAACAAAATACCCAAACTTTTTGCGTGCCACCAAAATGGCAAACAGGACTTCAAAGTTACGGAGTGAGTGGCTGGCATATCATGTTGACCCCATATTAATCAACTCCAGTTTATTAATAGGGGGGTGTTCGCCTCCAAAAGTGGTCGGATTCGCCCCGAAACACAGAAACAGACACCCGCTATTTAATAAATTGGTTGGTTCATATGGACTCACCTTTTGTGTGCTTTTTACAACAACACCAAAAAACAACAACAACAAACAACCACAAAAACAACAAAAACACATGTTTTCGCCTAGGCGCCGTGCAATCCCCTCCGCTGGCTTCGACCAGAAAGGCCAAGGCCTCCGACTCCGCCGGAGCGCAGTAGCCGAAGCTGCGGCCTTCGCAGCTCTCCGAGACCACGAAGCACCAGTCACCTGGCGACGAGGGCGGCTGGTGGTTTACGAATCTTCCATTTGCTTAAGTTATTATATAACCCCCCTGGAAAAAAACATGAGAAACAAAAAAACAAATCCAGTAGTCATAGATGCCCTTTGAAACCAACAGGCGGAAACTTAAAGATATTCTTAAGCAAATGGAAGTCATTCAGCCTAAAAACATATGAGTTTGAGTTGACTCATCCTTCATTTCTATTGACCTAATACAGCCTAAATAACAGATGCATGTTTGGAAGCACCATATCAGTTTGAGTTGATCTGCAGCTGGTGGTTTGGCGAACTGAGCTCGATCCAACGTTGGGATAGATCTGCAGGCAAAAGAACAACCTGCAGCAGAGTTTGCGGATCTCCTAAAACTGCCCTTGGTGCTTTTGGATGCATCCTTTGAGCAATGTCGCCCCGGGACAAAGTGGGAGCTTTGTGCTTTGCCATCAGTTGGGAAACAAGCATGGCTTGCAAAAAAGTGGAGGGTGGAAGGCCATACCAAAAGAACCCAATTTACGAAAGAGTTCAAGGTTTGAAGTGTCGATGCTCCAACTACTGCAACAGCTGGCAGGTGGTTTATTCCAATATTGATCGATCCTAAGTGGTGCGTACAGGATCTTGCCAATCAACAGGTCCAACCGAAGCGCCAAGTCACCGTTGGGGTCCTGGTCCTCATTGCAGCAAGCTTCCCCGTTGCATGTGCTCCGTGACTCGCACAAGCAGCCGTTCCTCAGATGTTTTGGCTCGTTTTGGGTGCTGAGCGTGCCTCCTGCTTGCAATCCAAGAAAGGAAGAAGAAGCCGTCCTCCCTCCAAAAACCACGACAGGGGCAAAGTAGAACGTCTCCAAAGAATTTAAAGTTCCACAGCCGGCTCAGAGCCACTAAGTGTAAGTTCCAGAAGCCAAACTCATATGAGTCATGAGGGTGCACTTTTGTTTGGCTTGTCCTAAAGGGGGGACCAAGGAACAAACAATCATTTTGGTGGGCTCCTCTATAAAGCCAACTTTTTGGTGATGGCGTAAAATGGCATCAGGAATCCAGAAGGGTGTCTCTACTTTACTGCAGCACCAAAAATTGCTTGGCCGGCTGGTTCTCCCCGATGTTTCGGCAACAAAGCTGAGAACCAAGCCTGTTCTTGTCAAAGCCCTTAAGGCTGGGCAAGAAGATTCGCAAAGTGCAAGATAAATATTGGGAAAACGGCTTGCACACGCTGGCCCGGTCCCATTCCGCATGCAGAGCGTGTTGGGGGCGGACAGCATGATGACCCTGTTATAAGCCTGCCTTTCAACTGCGGCACTAGCGTCCTAAAAACCTACTTGGGTCTTTGTTTTCAGAGCAGCAGTTTTGGGTGTCAACGGGAAGCACAAAGGAAACCGCCCATGTTACTTTATTTGTATTGTAGTGTTTTCTTCTTCGTTTTGTTTTGGGGGTGGGGTTCTTTATTTGAAACAATTTTGCTAATCCCCCCATTCCATGACGCATGCGGCTAGCCTTTTGCCGCCAAAGCTGCGTAGTTGTTCGACGGCTTGAGACTGCAAGGGAAGAATTCCTGCGAGAGTAAATCGCCCAGCGGTAGTTTTCCTGCCACCTTGGCTGTCAAAGCTGGAAACTTCATCCATGGCCGTCCCCCTTATGCTTGCTGCCTCAGCCAGTCAAACCAGAGAACGATCTTCGAGCATTAGACACATCGAGGAAACCTTTGAAGAGCCCTTGATATTGAACGGAGCTGTGACAACCTTGATCTTTCTGCGCTTTTTGGAAAGGTCTAAGCACAGATTCTGCGACAACTTTTCAGCAGCTAGCTCAAGATACTGCCAACATGAAACGCATGTTCAATTCGCTGAACAAAAACAAAACATGAACACGGACAAACCGTGGACAACCTGTGGAAGACAATACAAAGGCGTGGAATGGCAACATCAAGTTATGGAAAGCCGTCTTTGTTCAAAAAGAAGGACCATTTAGGACAATACGCGGGGCAACCTCTATCGAAACGTTGTGCTTCGTGTGCTGGGCTGGTGAGCTACTCGCCTTTTCAAAGCATGTTACCCTCTCGGCTGAATGCCTCCGGAGGCAAACACCTGAAAGCCTGCTGCGCTTATGTGCACAGAAATGGAGTCTCTTCAGGCAGCCAACTTGCAATTGTTGAGATTGGCGAGTTGTAGCCAGCTGGATAACATATAATGGCCATATAATTATCACCAGAAAATAATAATCGGCGCAAGCTATTAAAGAAACTTGTGACATATAGCCTTCAACCATAAAATGTTTGAGCTACCTCTACTACACTTTGGACAGCCTTTGGATGACCAGGGAACACTTCGGATCGGATAGACAACAGAAGTGTGACTGTGACTTTTGAAGTTTGTCGGGCCAGGCGCAAAGTATAGCCGTTAGACCAAATACAGTTGAGCTACAAATTCACCTCGACCTTGCGACTTACAGGCTTTGGAAGGCCAGAAGAAACCGTGACGTGTCGCCTCTGAAATGATGAAACTCACTGGCCAACAGAAAGCCGAGACTTTGCCGACTCAGCTTGACATGCAGTGCGAGATTCAGAGACTGACTTGCCAACGAGTTCCACTTGCAGTACGGAAAGCGCCAAAAAGAAGCTCGCACATAAATTTGGCCTTCCAGAGGTGCTGCATTTCGGAACAAGTGTTAAAGCCATCAGATCCCGGAGGGAAACGGGGGATGTACCCCTGGCTTGCCTTAGTGACTTGGCTTGGTTGCTGTTGACCCCCCTGCAAAAAGTAACTTTTGGGGGGTTTAGTGTCAAACCCCTTGATTTCCCAAAAAGTTAAAGTCTAAATAAAGATACAACCCAATAGCAGTCAAGTTGGGGTAGTGGAAAATCCGATCTGAGCGTCGCACGTGTCCGTGTAGCACTTGGGATTCTGACCAGACCAGCTGTTGGCGCCTTGGGGCAAGGCGAACAGATGT